CCCACCACGCACAGGTACCGCTCCCCCCTCTCGTTCTGCCGGTGCAGCGCTACGGAGAAACCGAAGAACCCCCGCGTCGCGCTGCCCTCCTTCAGCACGGGGAAGGCGGTGTCCAGGTTAAAAGCGGCGGAGGAGCGGAGCATCGCGCACAGCAGCAGCATTAACCCCGCAAATCTCCTCGCCATGGCCGGACCCCCCCCGCAAACCCGCACCTCCCCGCACCCTGCGGGGCAGCGCCGGCCCGGTGCGGTGCGGTGAGCGCGGGGTACAAAAAGGGGCGTGGCCAGGAGAGGGGCGTGGCCAGGAGGGGCGCGCACTCTTCCGGGCACTCCCCTTAAAGGGGCCGCGCACCCACACCTTCCTCCCTCCCCCCTCCCGCACCTGCGGAGGGGGCGGTCCGCGCATGCGCGTAGGTGTGGGGGGAGTGAGTGAGGAGGTGTGGAAGCGCGCACCTGAGTTTGTGCACACCGGGGTGGTTGCGAACACCTGGGCACACCTAAGCGTGCATACGGCTGGGTGAGAGCGCTGCCGGGTGTGCACGCTGCCACGGACACGAGTAGAGAGCTGAGCGTGAAATTACACGCCCGTATGCTGCACACGGCTGGCTTTTGGGTGTGCAAGCAGCCACTCGTACAAACGTACACCTGGATGTGCGTTTGGACTTGGATTGCACGCTCTTGCATGCACGCTCCTGTGCAAGTGCACCCCCGTGCAGAAGTGCACCTGGGTGTGCATGCGCTCCGTGTGTTGCGTGCTTGTATGTGCACGGTCTTGTGCAAGCACGCTTCCAAGCTGAAACACAGCTTTGCATGCACACACGTGTGTGCGAGCGCTCGCACGTACACGCGTCGTCCTCGGCATGCACACAACTGGGCAAGCACACGCTTGGGTGTGCACGCTCCCGTGCATGCACACACCTGGCCGTGCGCACGCCCCCGCCGTGCACGCTGCCGTTCCTCTCCCCCCCCCCCCAGCCACAGCCGTGCACACGCAGTGATTTGCACACACAGGAAGAGGCGCAGAATCAGCAACGCGCTGCCCGCCCCCCCCCTCCCCAAATCCCCCGCTCTCCAGCGGGACCCCCGGGTCGACGCTCCCCAATGTACGACGTCCAAACCGGGACCTCCGCGGAACAGCCCCCAACCCCCCCCCCCGGAAAATCCCTGCAGGCAGGGATCGGACCACCCGCGTTGCCCCCCCACCCAGAAGCGGGACCCCCCCATAGACACAAGCTTGGAAACTTATGGGGCGGGATGTGGGGGGGGTCCCTCTGCTGTGTGCGGGGGAAACTGAGGCGGGAGGAAGCGGGGCTCGGACGGTGCGGGGGGGTCGGAGCTGCTGGGACACTGCGGGGTGGGGGGGGGGGGGGGGGGGGGTCAGAAAATCCCCGGCCTCCCACGGCGGAACGCCGGGAATGTGCCGGCTGTGTGCCCGGTGCCGGCTCCCAT